GGAAAGGTTTAGCTAGCTCGCTATGGAGATTTCAGTCCACAATCAGCTGGCTCCAAGGTAGAGTGGCACTGGGGCAGCACTTCAAGGCAGCAGTCAGAGCAATCAGAGCAAAAAGGGCGGTGGTGGTGTGGAGGGATAAGCCCCTTCTTCTCCCTTACACTGCAAGCAGGCTACTCCTCCTTACCCCCAGGGAAGGTGTAGCACTCCCACCAGCTCTGTGCCCTCCTCCTGCACAGGCTGAGGATATTTACTCAGGGAGGATCCTGACTCTATTGAGTCTCTTAGTCAAACTTCTAAACTCAAGTTGACAGAAGGTATCAACCACAGCCCAGGGTAAAATTAGGAGACAAAGGAGTCTCTGAGCCTGGAGTAGCAGGAGCTTGCTTACTGACAACAGACCCCCCAGGGCTGCTGTGCTAAGAACAATCTCTAAGGGTCCAGCAAGAAAGCAAGAAAACCAGCCAGGAGGCTATTTGGTAACTCAGGTAAGACGCCATGGCAACTCGGGCAGGGCTATACTGGGAAAAGCACGGAGAACAGTTGTACTTTGAGTCTGTTTTCAAGGTACAGCCAACACATTACTGGGTGTGGGTTGCACAACAGAGACAAAAGTGAAGACTGACTCTATATGTCTTAAGCCAAATGGAAGAGAAAATGGAGTTATCCTAACTGAGACAGGGAAGCCCATACTAAGAAATACTTTTGTTGGTTCATTTGCTTGGTGTATGCGTGTAGCAGGTAGAGATGGCTTTGGTGTGTATGAAGCCGTACTGTGGAAACACAAGGTGCGAGCAGGGAGATTATGTGGAACACTCAGTAATCCACGGGGCAGGTGATGATGGCTTGGGCAAGGTATCTGGCAGTAGAAATAATGTGAGATATATATACACACACACACACACACACACACACTGGAGGTAAAGCTGACGTAATTTGCTAACGGAATGATAAAAGATAAGAAGAGTCACTGACTTCCACAAAGTTTTGAGCCTTTGACTATAAAAATGGAATTGCTATTAACTCATACGGTAAAAGCAGTACAAAAACCAAATCTGAGACCAGCCACGTGGAAATAGCCACTAAACAGACAGGATTACAAATCTGGTTTAGAGGACAGGTCAGGGCCAGACAAATAAATTTTGGTATCAGTACGTACGTGACATCAAAAGCCAGGAGACTAGAAAAGACGGCCAAAATAGCAGGGGAAAAGAAAGGTAGAAAAGAAGGCAAATGCCGTAGCCTTGGGATACTCTACTAGGCAGGGATAGGAGAGGGGGAAGTAAAACTGATGGAACCTAAAAAGCAAGGGCCAGTTGAAGCGGGGAAAAAGAACCAAAAGCTTTGACGCTGTGGAAGCCAGGTGATTAGGTACCTAAAAAAGGAAAGATGGGTTAAAACTTCTAATTGTTGGTAAGTCAAGGAAGCTGCAGTCTGAGAATAACCACTGGATTTAGCGATGTGGAAGTCATCGGTATCTTTGAAGACTATTTTCAACTAGAGGTGTAATGGCAAATAATATTACTACAGTGTAGTAAACAGAAAATGTGAAGGGAAGAGAAAGGAAGTACAGGCGGCTCAAGGAGTAAAGGAATTTATTGTCTTTTTCTCTTGTGTTTTAGTTGACTGGCTTGTAAGATGGAAAAACATTACAACAGGTTTGTATACTGAGAGGAAGACTCCAGATGTCAGAGAGAAGTTAATGGTGCAGAAATGAAATGCTGAGGCCATGCAGGTGGGCGGGAAGTGGATCTAGCCACAAGTCAAGGCAGGCCGAGGAAGGAGAACAGACAGTTCCTCCACATCACCAGGACTGCACCGATGCAAGTGGGTGGGCAGCATGGGGGTGGGAACTCACTCAAATTCTCTTTTGTCTGATTTTTTTCTTCAGTGATAAAAGCAGCAGCATCAACCAACTGAGTAAGGATAGAACAAAGTCCAAAGCAAATGTGAGATGAGCAAGGAAGTGGTGGGGCAGGGAGACAGCTCGGTGGCAACCACACCTACCCGGCAAGCACGAGATAGTGAGTTTGATGAGGGAGGGAGGGAGGGAGGGAGGGAAGGAAGGAAGGAAGGAAGGAAGGAAGGAAGAAAATAAGTTTCCTAGGAAACTGTTCATTCTTATTTGAAATTCTAGGCCCAAATTTAACCTTGTTCCCCTCATCCTTTACCCCTGGTCCTTTTCTTTAGGATCTTCTTCCTTAAAAGTCTCTGCTAATTTAAACAACCAGTAAAATTTATCCTTACAATTCTGATGTTATAAGCTTCTAATTCAGGCAACTTCTTAGACTTCAGCCTGGCTTACAACCACCTTCATCCTACTCAAACACGACTGGCCCTGCTCCCATCCTGGCACTAAGGTTTCCCTTTAATGGCTGCTGGCTGTTCTCAGTCTTCTCCAGCCAGCAAGGAGAAATCCTTAGACGCCGTTCACATATGAGCAAATAACAACGTAAGAACATACTCATTGTTAGTTAAAGTTTACATTCATAGACTGAAACTAGAAGGCCTGAAGGTTTCCTAATCCTGTACAGCAAGGTCCCATCCTCCTCCTCCTGTTAATCCGACATCAGACAGGTTGAGTCACCTGTTTGGGAAAACCGAAACTTTACAACAAAACAAGCAAAAAACTTAGCTAAGACCAAAGAAACAAATACATAACAGCCAAAACAACTTATCCTAGGAAAGCAAAATTGGTTCAACATCTGAAAACTGATTAATACAATAATTCTATTAATAAAAAAAGGGCAAAGAATACAGGATACTCTCAGTATTATAGGTAGGAAAAACGGTAAAATCTAACACCTTCCCAGGAAAAGCCACTTAACAAATAACTAATATAAAGGACTCTATCAATCTGATGAAGGGCATAAAAACTAAATACTTCTTCCCTAACATCAGAAACAGGACATGGATGTCCACTTTGCCATTTCATATAACTTTGTATTGGGTTTAGCCACAGCAATTAAAGGAAGACAAAAAAAAAAAAAAAAAAAAAAAGGTTGAGTTACAAATAAATACAATCATCTCTTTGAACCCTTCCCAGTGCTAGGATTACAGGTGTGCACCATGCCCAGCTAGAAGGGTGATCTTCAAATTCTTGTGAAAATTCAACGAACTCAGAAAGCAAAACTATTTAGAAGAAGAATCAAGTTGGAGAACTCCCACTGCAAACTTTAGCACTTACCACAACACTGCACTACTTCAGACACATTATACTGTCACCAAGTGCATAGAATTAAAAGTTCAGAAATACACCCTTACGTTTAATGACCAGTCTAATGAGGCAAAAACCAGTCCCATTATAAATGATGCTGCAATCCGAATCACCCAACACGTCAAAGGGTGACGCTGCACCTTACTTACCACATATGCAAAAACTTTACACAAAGCGGGTCACAGGCCTAATAGACCTAGCATTAATAGGGCTCTGACAACTCATATGAGTAAATCTGCATGACCTTGGATTAGGTAATGACTTCTTAGCTTATAATCAAAGCACAAATCATAGAAGAAAAACGTTGATAAACTGAACTTCATCAAAATTGAAAGAGTTTGTATTGTCAAGGAAACCATCAAGAAAGTGAAAAGACACAATGTTTGCAAATCATATACTTGGTAAGAGAACCTACACATAGAACAGGAATTAGGAATACCTATCCAAAGGATCATAATAAAAAGTTCTCTGAGAGACTGAAAAATGGTCAATAAATACATAAAAAAATGCTCAACTACAATAGCCAGGCATAAAAAGCCATAAAGATTAGAGTGGCTGCAGTATAAGGAGTACTGGTGAAGGTGGGGAGACTTAATACATGGTCAGTGGGAATACAAATGGGGAGCCACGTTGCAGTTCCTCAGAATGCTAAATGTAGTTCTACCACATGACCAGCAATGCAACTCCTAGACAAATACTCAGGCGAAACGAAGACACATATCTACACATATCTACCAGTTTGAACTACAGAGAAGAGACCCTGTAACAAAAAACCAGAATAAATGAATGAATGAATAAAAAAATGAAATGCTATACCCATTAAATGAAATATTATTCCTTTTAACTCCAGCTTTTGATAACTATCAGAGACTTTCTGTCTCTATAAATTTGACTATTTTGGGCTGGGGATTTAGCTCAGTGGCTTAAGTGCTTGCCTGGTAAGCATGAGGTTGACTATTTCAGGGACCACATTTGGGTGGAATTATATAGTATCTGTCTTTTGTGATGCCTGATTTCACTTAATATAATGTTGCAACCTGTGGCATAATTTCCTTTCTTTTAAAGCCTGAATACTCTTTTGGAGTTTTTTTGGTACCAGGGATCAAACTCACAACCTCATGCTTGCAAGGCAGGTGCTTACTCTGCTGAGCTAAATCCTCACAAGCCTGAATCCTCTTCTGAGTATGTACTACACTTTGTTTATCCATCCACTCATCAATGGATACCTGGGCTGCTTCCAATCCTTGTCTACTGTGAATATGAGGGTATGAACACCCATTTCAAATCTTGCTTCCAATTCTCTTAGCTACATATCCAGAAAAGGGATTGCTAGGCCATGAGAGCTTCAATATAGTGACAAAAATGTTCTAAAATGTAATGGTAATAATGGTTGTACAACCCTGTGAATGTACTTAAAAATCACTGAATTATATACTTTAAGTGGGTAAACTGTATGATATGTGAATTACTTCTCAATAAGCATAAAAATACAACTCTTAAAGACTGAATTAAGTACATAACTGCACCAATTTTGACTGAACTAAATAATTGAGTTAAATAAGAAGTCAATTTATCATTTGAGTAATTTTTATTTTTACTTCCAGTGGCCTGGCTAGTGTAGGCACTTTCTGAGACATAATTTAAGTGCTTCCTCAGTAATGCACATTGCAGAAAGGAAGGCTAAACAGTCACAATTTTAAACTTTTGTTTAACTCACAATTTTAAACTTTGGTTTATATTTGGTATCAGGAATAGTGTGAAAAAAATAACAAATCCACATCAACTCTCACAATTTTTATTTCATTTATTGTAGGCATGTCACTGGCCAGAATTTTTTAAAGATAGGGAAATAATACAGGACTTCATTAACTTTGACTTCAGGTTCACTCTTTGAAGTGTAACTCACAATTATTTTACCAGAAGATATTCAAAAGATAGACAGTCTATTTGACTTTTTGCAATACAAAAAATTACAAAATTAAAAAAAAAAAACCTTATGTCCAATGTCATGGAATGGGGAAAAAGTCAATAAAAAAAAATTCCAGGAGAGTCAGAATTTTGAGAAGAAAACATATATCAAATTCAGATTCTTCTCATCTTTAATCATCATACCTGACTAGAAAACCTAATGGCAATACAGATGGCTACTGGTACTCAGAAACCTGTTTTGTCACTTTCCTTTCTGCTTTATCTAAACATTTTAGACAATATTAAGACTCAAAAGTGCAGTTTTAGCAAGATGACAATGAGATCATCTGGAAGATTTCTCATGAGCTCCTGTGATCTAAGCAGAACAAACCATAGCAAACTGTACTTTTCTGATCAGTTTTAAAAATAACAGGTTCTAAATGATTATAGCAAAGAAGAGACAGGTTTAGGAAGTCTGCTTTCAATCTTGGTTTCAAGGCAGAATTCTAATTACAGAGGTATTTATGTGGGCTACTATTTCTTTCCAGCTAATACATCTTATATACTTTAACAGCTTTTCCTAAATAATTTCTTGGAGCCGACTTAAAAATGAACACTGAAACACTACCAGTTGATTCAGCTGATTTGAGATTCTCCTTACATGTTTTTCAAAATTCGTCTGTGTGCAGAAGCAAAATTATGAATGGCGTTTCGGAGAGTGGAATGTCCTTCAGAGACATCAGAGGAGCTGATGACGGAACACAGTGCTCGACTATATGCTGCAAAACAAAGGTTTCCACAGTGGGGAGTAAAGTCTAAAAACTGTGCCTTCCCACTTTCCCACTAGTGCTGCTCCTCTATCTAGTGTCCCATTGGTATTAATTTTATACCCATGGAATAAATGTTTATTGAGTATTTAGATACAGAAAAGAGAATGGTGAGGATAGATGCCAAAAATAAATGAACTGCTGTATAATACTTTCCAACCAGCAGCATTTACAAAATGTCATCACAAAATGAAGTTGAAAATAAATGAATAACTATCTAAAGCAGACTGGAAAGACTTGAAGGGTTAGCACAAGAAAAGAAAAGGCAGCACATGATACTCAAAATAGCAAGTTTATGAGAAACAGCAAGTAGAATGTGGCCTGCAGGTAGACGGAAAATATACCATCTATTTCGTGCTGTCATCGGGACTCCTAGAGATTTTAGAATGGGGGAATAAATTATCATATATGTGCTTTAAAAATATGACACATAACCCTGATAAGAAACTCAATACACAGACAAGGTAGCCTAGGAATACAAATACTGTACTGGGATAATTTTTAGTGTATAACAGAGCTCTACACTAACCTTTACACTATACAAAATCCAAGTACTTAAGGGTGGACGGGAAATTGTAACATTACTGACAACAGGAAGGACTTCATTTTATCTGACTGGGACTCTTGATAGAGGATCTCATCTGCCTCAGGATCCCTGGTAGAAATGGCAGCCTAGTATGGAGATACATGTAGTGAGTTTGTTTCAGATATCTAACCATTAAGTATGTGTATAGGTGAGAAAGGAATGGGGAAAATGAAGGAACTAGTTATTTAGAAAAAAAAGTATGTGCACAGCACTGAACTCAGAGGGACAGACTTCTCACTTACACAGCCATGAAAGAGCAACCTTAGAGTGGAGTAAGGCAGAAGTATTTCCTCACCATAAATGAAGACAAAAGGTAGCAGAGATCTCAAAAAGACATAAAACTCACTGCAATTATTTCCATCACCTCAGAGTTGTTTGGTAAAGGGGTATGATACTCTTGCATATGCAGTAAACATTCAACAAATAGCAGACTATTATTATCTTTTAAAAAAAATTGCTAATAGGCCCTATCTATTCCTTCAAGATACCTACCTTGGTGGTTTTTATAGAAAATACAATTGTTGGCGCAGGTATCAGGGTGAGCATCCCAAAAATCAGGACCACAGAAGCACAGCGGAGGTAAAGTAATATTATACAGCTTCATCTTCTCCTGGACCTGGGCACGCAAAGCTTCTACATATCTATAGACACAGTAAAGGATCAGGCAAAGCAAACGTCAGCAAAACAGTAAGCATGCATCCTGATTTAACAACTTGCCTTAGCTGCAAGGAAAAGCTAAAAGCTGTTTCACATCTCTGGACCTTGATCCTCCTCTAATGCACTGAGAAACAACACTAGGAAAAAAATGCAATGCTATTTCAAGATATCGACAATGTTATGACCCTAAAATGAGGAAAAGAAGTCGATTCTCTCTTACGGGAAACAAGAATACCCACTTCTTACTAAGTCTCCTCTACAGCCAGAATTTCATACAAAACTTTTCGAGTCACCTGACATACTCTTTCTCTTTCTGTTGCATCTTCTCTTTGGCACCTTTCATTTCTTCAAGTTGTAACTGGCTGAAACGGTCACTCATCTTCTGCTCTGAATACGGTGCCCTGTGAGAGCCCAGTCTTAGGGTCCTCTGCTCTTCAACAAAACATTGTTGCTCTTTCTTTTGCTTAATTCTGAGAATAAAACATAACATGGTCAGGAATTTCATTAAGTTGTTAGAATTAGCTTCTGGATCCAAATACATCAAGCAATTCTCAGAAGTGAGTGGGCAGGAAATTAGTTTAATGCCCTAAGAGCAGCTTCGCAGGTTCCTGCTGGTTAATTTGAATTTATCCTACAGTCATCTAAATATACAGCCTCTCACAGAGAAATGAGAGTAAGTTTTCTCTAAGTATCTTAGCTCAAGAACCAAAAATGAAGTAACGGCTAGATTTGCCCTCTCACCTTGAAGAACCAAAGAAACTTAAAAAGAAATAAAGTAAACTGGACAAAATACAAGGAACAATGGTTTTCAAGACACTAGGGCTAAGCTAACAGAAAGTAAGGGTTCCTGACAGATGGGAAACAAACAAGGTCAGTCTGGGACCTGCCAGATATTACTGCCTTTAATGTTTCCAGGGAGTGGCACAGGGTTGAATCCAAGTGCAGCCGCTAGACTCCCTGAGTTAAGGAGATGGAGCTGAGACAGTGCAGAGAAAGGAGAACAGTCAGTGCCACGACACAGAACGACAAAGAGGAGAGAAAACCAGAAACAGTTTCCTCCTGGCATACAGCAAAAAGTACTGACTGGTGCACATATGCAAGGAAATGACCTGAGCCCATGAAAACAACATCCAAAATAGTAAGAGAACACTGTCTGGCATTTGTACAACACAGGAAATGATACCTGCTCCCACTAATCACAGACCAGAACCGCTGAAACCATAGCCAAATAAACCTTTTCTTTTCATGAGTTATTATCTCAGGTATTTGTTACAGTAACAGAAAGCTGACCAACTCATCCAACAACAGTCAAGGTAAAATTCATAGTGTCTGACATTTGGTCAGTGATTACTAGGTATACAAAAAGGAAGGGAAACAACTCAAAATGAAGAGAATAGTCAGTCAATTAAAACAACTGACCAGAACTGACACTGCCATGGTAGAATTAGGAGAGAACATTCAAAGAATTATTACAATTATAAATTATGCCAGGGAAATGGTGGCACATGCCTACAATCCCAGAACTCTGAAAGGCTGAGGCAGGAGGATTGCAAGTTTGAGCTCAGCAAGGAGGACAACTTATAGGCCTTAGTGAGACCATCTCAAGCTCAATAAAATAGAGACCTATAGCTGTAACTCAGTCCAAAAGCTCTGAGTTCAGTCCCCACACCAGATAAAAAAGGGAACTGATACAGATAAAAAATACACGAAATGTTGAGCCAGGCATGGTGGCTCACGCCTGTAATTCCAGCACTCTGGAGGCTGAGGTGGGAGGATCGTTGTGAGTTCGGGACCAGCCTGGGCTACAAAGTGAGCTCAAGGCCAGCCTGAACTGCATAGAGAGACCCTGTCTCAAAAAAGACAAAAGAAAAAAAATACACTAAATGTCAATGGTGGAGAACCTATGGCACAAACATTACTGTGTTTTCCTTTTAACATAAAGAATGTTAATGCATGAGTCATTTTCTTCTAAACCAAACTCTCAGTGTTCAGGTTTAATTGCGGTATTGGCACTTCAAGACAAATAAGTAGGTTTTGGGTTACAGTTTGGGAATGTAGTCTCTAAAAGGTTCACCATCATTGCTATTTATGATTATCAGCAGATTATATGGTATGGAAAGCAAACGTGAAAACATATAAAAATTATCTAAGTGAAACACAGGGGTAAAAAAAAACATCTAAAACCAGTCAGTCTCTCTCTTTGTCTCTCTGTCTCTGTCTCTCTCTCTCTCTCTCTCACACACACACACACACACCCCTTAGTTAAAAAACAACAGGTAAGCATTTAAACAGGCACTTCACTTAAGATGATACATGAAGCAGCTAACATGCATGCAAAAGACGCTCAACATCACTAACTAGCAAGGCAGCACAAACCAAAGCCGGAATAAAATGCTGCCTCAGACCCTGGCGGGACGATAAAATGGTGAGCCACTCCAGAAAACCACATGAAGGTGGTTTCAGAAGTTAAAACACAGCCACAAAATGATCCACAATTTAAATTTTGTGTGCATGCCCCCAAAATTAAACAATTAAAAGGAAGGTCTCGAAAAGACTTCGTATTTCTGTTTTATAGAAGCAATAATTAATGGTAACTAAAAGGTAGAAGTATCTTAAATGTCCATTGACAGATAAACAGATAAAATGAAGTGTGGTCTACAGATACAATGGGCAGCCTTAAAAAAGGAGAAACCCCTGGAAAACACAGTAACATGCACTAATGTTAAAGGTATTACACTAAGTGAGGAAAGCTACTCACAGAAAGACAATATATGATGTCATTTACATGAAGATTTAAGGTGGCAAAATTCACAGAAATAAAAAATAGAATGTTGATTCCTGGGAGCTGGAGGTCAGAACAAAAGAGCCGTTTAACAGGTTTCATTTCACATGTGTAAGATCTAGAGATCCGTTTCACCAACACTTAAATGGCTAAGATGCTAAGTTTTACCTTTAATAAATCTTAAGTTTAGTAGCTTTTAATAAAATGTATGTGTAAATCTTATTTAATGTGACACAATTTTCTTAAAAAGTCACATAAGTAAATGAACAAGTGAATTAAAAATGAAATGAGTTCAGACATGTAAAAGCTGAAAAACATTCATCTCTAATAAATTCATAATTACCAGAAAAGTTCAAAGATATTCTCCCAGCACAGGACAGTAACACTATAGTTTAAGGGTATATATATACATATACTATATACTTATAACACCTAATAAAATAACAAAACAGAGAGAAGAGTTGTGAATACTTCCCAGTTCATTCTGTGAGGCTAGTATTAACCTGAACCAAAAGCTTATAAAGACAGCAGACAAAGAAAGTGTAAACTAACCTCTCAAAATATAGGTGAAAAAAAAGAGGGAATACAGCCTTTCAACATACAAAAATAAAAATTGTACTATATATGAAAATTAAATCAAATTGAATCTCAGACCTGAATGTAAAGCCTCAAGTGACAATACTTTGCCAGAGAACACAGGAGAAAATCTCTGTGACCTTGAGTTAGGCAAAGATTTGTTAAATATGATTGGGTTGGCCCAGAGGCATACGCCTATAATCCCAGCATTCCAGAAGGCTGAGGCAAAAAGAATGCAAGTTCAAGCCCAGCCTGGGCAATTTACAATAAAAAAATAAAAATAGGCTGAGAATATTGCTCAATGTGAAGGTCCTGGGTTCAGTCCCTTGTACTGAGAAACAAACAAAAAAGATACAACAAAAGCAGTCTATAAAAGAACATATTGAAAAACAGAACTTCACCAAAATTTAAAACTCCTGCTTTTAAAAAGACATTTAAAAAAGAAAATGCTAAGACTAAGAAATGAGCCACAAGACTAAGAGAAAAATCTTTGCAAAACGTATTTGATAAAGGATTTGCATTTCGTAACACAGCAATAAGAAACCAATTTTGAAATCTGAGTTTCAATAAACCAACGAAACAACATACAGATAGCCAATAAAAGCATAAAAAGATGCTCAACATCATTAATCATTCAGGAAATGCAAACTGAAACCACAAAGCACACACCTACTTAATCAAACAGTTACAATGAAAAAGACATCGTGACAAATGTTGGTAAGAATGTAAAGGAACACCACAACAGGAATTTAAAATAGTACAACTATGTACAAAAACAGTTTGATGGGGTCTTTTAAATTTGAAGTACTCAACTACCAGCCATCCTGCACTCAGGCATGTACCCAAGAAAAAAGGTAACAGGCCCATACAGACTTACACAGGAATTTCATGGGAGCCAAAACCTAGGAACAACCTATATGCACATCAGTCTGCAAGTGGATAAACAAATTGTGGTACATTCATAAAATAGTATACTATTCAGGAACAAAAGGAATAAATTCTTGATACATGCAAGGACAATTCCCGAAACAATCCAACTGAGTGAGAGGTACAGGGCAAAAGGGGTGCGCTCTTTAAGATTCCACTGACAAGCATATCTTGCTTTACTGTGTTTTGTTTTACTATGTTTCATAATTATTCCCTCCCTCCTTTTATTTTTAACAAATTGAAAGTTTGTGGCAATTCTATGTCAAACAAGTCCATCAGTGTCATTTGTCAATAGTATGTACTTATATTGTGTCTGGCACATTTTGGTAATTCTTAACAGGATTTCAAACTTTCTCATTACCCTGTATATGATGGGATTAGTCATTTCTTGACATTACACTGCTTACGCTGTATAAGATGGTGAACGAGACTGATAAATATTATGTTTTCTAGCTGTTCCACCAACGTGACCTACCTGCCTCTCTTCCTCTCCTCAAGCCTCTCTACTCTGAAACATACTAAGATTAGGCCCAAAGGGCCTCAAGGTGTTCAGGTGAAAGTAACAGTCAAACACCTCTCTTTAAATCAGAAGCTGGACATCACTGCGCTCATTGAAAGGTGAGACAGACTAGATGGAAAGACTAGAATTTACAAGCACATGCTGACACCAATCACTAAAAATCACTTTGAAACAAATGACCTATTGTTTTTTGAACAGTAGTATCAGGCTAGTCACACTCCTATTCTTCAGTAAAGCATGGTCTCTGGAAATTCTGGACTTCTACTTGTGGTAGGCTAGCATCCGCAGGGGAATTATATCTTTCTATTTTGTTAGATTAATAAAGGCGTAAGTTAAAAATCTACAAAGTCTGAAAGATTCAGCACCAGAAAACCAGGACACAGCAGTCATAGAACCACATTTATCCACGTGACAGTGAATCACTGGCCACCTCCAGAAGAGACAAGGTCACTTTAAAAAAGGGTTTTCTTAGTAACAGGCTTCCGTATCTGTTAGTATTTCATGAATTATAACTGTGAATTCAAGCTGAGTGTTTCTCAAAGAGTACAGAACAAATGCAATATAAAGCTGTAATAGGGTAGAGGTACCTCATTCTTGTAACCTTGGCAAAGGGACATATTTTTATACCAATGAACATCAAGATTTAAAGGGATATTAAGACAATG